TACACCCATATATTCTAAGCATTATCTGTAAAGCAGGATCAACTGTATCTACAAATATCTTTTTCCATTCATAGACCAGTGACTCAGACCAGAAGCCTGATGGTAGCTGAAAGGAACCCTCCAATGAATTAACTTATTTTCTCCATGCTTTTCTGCTCTGTTAAAATATCACTTATCACTGGGCAGATTAGTCTTGTGTGGACATTTGCAGTGAGAATATTACAAAATGATCAAGCAGGAGTTAACTTTGTAGTTCAGTCCTTAAGGTGATGTACTGTATATACTGTACTAGGTACATCCTGAGGCCATGCAGAGTGAAAAGGAAACAGAAAAGAAGTATAGCTGAGTGATAAGGATAAAGGGTTTTTTTATGTGTGATTTAAGCAATTTAATCTTAAGTAAAGGTCCTACAGGCTACCTTGATTTTGGTACTTAGTAGGTTTTAAGAAAAGACCCTAACCCATCAATTTTAATGGGATGCTTTTAACATAACTCTCCTAATATTTTAAGAGAAATATGCTGGCACAGACTTTCACTTGTTAAATGGACTTTTTTGAGCAAGCAGGATTCAGTATTTATACAAAACACTCAAACCTGTCTAGCAGAGCTAGTGCAATAACTCATAGCAGCAGCAAGTCCTTATTCCTGTGACAGCTCTCCTGCCAGGAGGGGAAGAAACAGACAGTTTCCTGAGGTTTTGAAGCTAGCTGCAGGGAAAAAAAACAGCCTGGAGTGCTGCTCCAAGTCCTGGAAGGGAATGATCTCTGAGGTAGTTAACCCTGCAGGTTGCTTACTAGATGAAGCATTTATGGTTATGGTGGTTATGGTTCACGTGTGGTGGCTAGGGTGCACGTTCTCTGCCTTGCTGATGGCACAGCTCCAGGTGAGGCTGTCTCGCACGACAGCAGGTGTGTCTCTCAATTCAGCACCTTCTCAGGCAACTACAGGACCTTTGCTTGTGCCCTGACCCTGAAAATACCAACACACCCGGTCAAAGTCTGGTAGACGTGTAAACTTTCTTTGGCACTATCATCTAGAGAGGCATGTCAGGCAGCTTTAACTGCAGGTAAATACAGTTGCTGCCAGAACGTGGGTGCGCTCATTTAGTTTAATTTTAACCTTCTTCATGAAGGGTTTCAATCTCACAGTTCCCCTCACTTTCAGAAAAGCGAAGCCAGACACTTGTTAAAGAAGGCTTACAACATGAGTATCCCTATTTCTAACTTGGCCCAGCTCTTCGTCTCTACCTTCTAACACTGTTTTCCTCTCCATTTACGCATCTTACCAAGGAGAGCTCTTCCAACCAGTTCCTCCTTGCTTGGAGGATGTTGTCCTTCCAGGAACAGCAGTGCTTGCTTTTGGGGGGTGCTGAAAACTCTGCCTGGTCTACTTGACTTACCAAAGACAAGACCCCCTGGTGACATGGGAAACTTGGACACTGTTTCTAGGGCCACAACTGATTTTCTGAGTCTTGTACAAGTCATTCCAGAGTTTGCTCTCCCATTGCTACCTGCTTAAGCTGAAAGGACTGTGTAGTAGCCTGTCCCTCAGGTCATTCTCATAATTAGGAACTAATGACTTCCTGTAGCTTTATTCAGCATAAACAGAAGCAGTTTTGAATGCTAGAAAAGCAGAAAAAAAATCTGCAAAAGCAACTTTTGAAATAGGCTAGTGAAATAACAGCATATAAAAGGGGAATTCAGCATCAAGCAGTAAATAACCTGTTTGTGAAGCAAAAGCACAGAGTGCCTGTTCATTACGAAAGATAAAAAAGCCTAATGTCAGATCTGGAGGGCAAGTTGCACCTTATTTTCTTTGCTCAGCACTATGAAAAGGTACAAAGTGTAATCGTGCAGTATATTGAGTGGCAGTTAGCCATTTCAGTACAATGTTGACCTTCTTTATGGAGGAGGCCTAAGATTTTATGTTTGCCTTGCTTCATTAAACACAGCTCACGAGTTGCTTTTTATTTTTCCCCCTCCTGTCTCTCCTTTTGAGGAGTTTAATTGGATCTGTCTTTCAGTTAGTTTATTAATACCATGATTTAAGCATGGATCGTAGAAGGGTAACTTTGCTCTTCATACCATTTGGTAAAGCAAATGTTGTCTGTATGCCTCAGACTGGAATACAGGAACTGAACTTGCTAATTGAAAAATAACAATCCCAAAATAGTCATTTGAAAAATATCAGTCTACTCCTGGAATGCTACTTAGTTGTCTAAGCTATGAAGTTAAGTGCTAGGTGAAAGCTCAAGTATTCCTCAGCCTTCCAGTTTACAGGATTTTAGCAGGGGGCTCTTGCCGCTTCACATGATCACCATCTAACTCCCTCAGCTAAGCAGAGGGGAGGAATACTGTACGGATTGCACTGGCAGATTTCATGCCCTTCTCTTGGCAGTGGAAAGAACATCCCATCAGTGGAATAAACATGCCAGCAGATTGCAGGCTCTCGCTTGATGCATTTAGCAGAAAAGAACCTGTACTGCCGTACTGTTGCAGAGATGCCCCAGCCAGCAGTGCCTTACACCTAGACAAGGCCCAGCACCACCAGCTCCTTTCCCAGGGCACAGGAGATGCGTGTCCTTGGCAAGAGCAAGAAGTCTTGAGCGGCTGCGAGCTACGTGAAACTTCCACAGCAGGAGACCAGCAAGGTATGGACTGCCCTTGCATAAGAAAAGCTGGCCTCACAGGAATATGGAAGGAAATAATATCCTGGTTCACACACACACAAAAATCCACAAATAGTGTGCAGCTTGTGGGGCTAGAGAACAAGGAAGAGCAGGGGCTGCTAAAGCTTCCAAACCAAGTAGTCCAGAAAGTCGATCTTTAGTTCAACTAACCCACATCAGCAGTCTTGCAGTGAGGCAGCACATGCTGCTTTCACAGAGACCCTGCCTGAAATTGTCCTCTATCTTTCCCAGATCTTGGGCACAATGTTTTATTACTGCTCTGGAAGATTATTTAGCTAATAACTCACCCCCAGCACTGGGCTAGGTACAACAAACTGTCTGCCCCCTTCATCCATCCAGAAACTTGTTGTGTTCAATACATGGGGAAAACGTTGCTACTGCTCTTTAAATCCACTGCAAGTTGGATAAGGGCTGAGAAATTGTGTTGAGTGTGTTGAATGTATGTTTTGGAGGCCAGAGACAGGAGGCGGCGGGGTGAAAGAAAAAAGGAACACAAAAAGCATAGCAGCTGGCTGCTATTCACACAAAAATATCTCTTTTTTTTTTTTCTTCTCTGGGAAGCACTGCTTCTGTACTTAAGACCCAGACAGACAGGAAAAATCCTTGCCAGGACACCAGTTTTCCTCATTTACTGGGAGCAGAGAAATGAGACTGCTGTGTGGCTTTTACTAGCAGTCTCTCCATCAGCTGAAAGATCCAGCAGCTTACTCAGTGCCTCTGTTATAAGCCCATTTTTGGAGGGGAGGGGGAGATGTGCTTGTGTCATGATGCAAACATATTTTAGAAGGCAGTCATTTCTCCATTTTGCACATTTCTGGCCTCTATAGTTTTGCACAAGACATTAGTGCTGCCTAGAAAAATGCAGTGAGAGCTTTCTAGGCTCTCTGCTTGATACAAGTGGAGGGTAGCAAAGGCTGCTGAAATCCTGGAGCCCCTGTCATAACTTCTCAGGGGATTTTCTAGGGTAAGAGAACCAGTCCTTAGCGACATCTGCTCTTCTGTATTTGCAAGTAAAAACAGTGAAAGTTACTGAGGTTTTTGAAAACTCTTCAAGGAGCATATCCTGCCTTCTCAATGTAACCTTCATACTGGCTACCTCAGTGTAAGAAGTGATCCCAAAGCCAAACCCACTCCAAGCTCATCATGTATGTCACGTGCTGGAAGGATTGTTAGGGCTTGTTGCAGCTACACACCAAGTCCATCTAAGACCTCACATCCTCCACACATGGCAGAGATCCTCCTCATTCTTTTAACTCAGAGCTCTCACACAGCACTCTCAGCTACTTCTTGACAGGTCATATGCTTTTCATGCTGTTTAGCTCATTTTTTGAACCAGTAAGTGACTCAAAAAAATCGCTATGGAAAAACCAATAAGTTTAGTCATTTATATGGCCGGACCAGAGAGCAGGCACATTCCCTGCCTCATAGTTGTATTCCTTATTTGAATATAATAGGGACAAGATCTGGCAAAGTTATGCTTGAGCTGATGAAAACAAATTGATTAAAAACACAACCACAAACTGACTTCTGAAAACAAGACTGGCCAGTATAAAGTTAGGTTAGTTAACCTAGGTATACAGATCAGCCTTTATTTTACATTTGCTTAATCCATATGGTCGTCTAGCTTCTGGGGACAGTCTCAATATGAGGCACAAAAGTATTTAAAAAAAGAATCTAAGCTATTCAAACCGATTAAATATCATATTTTAACCCATGGTTGTGGATTGGTTGTGCTTTATTATTGGCTGCATTTCTCTCCAAGCCTGTTCAGCAAAGCCCAGAGAAGCTGATTTTATTCTGCATGAGGTCTACTTGACCTTTTGGATCCCCAGTATGGAGCTGCAACATCAGACTGCAAACCTGAAGATGGAAGGAGTCCTGGAATATACATTCCAGAGCTACTGAGCATTTCTGAATATTGACTTCCTGATAAACAACTGGGAATGGTGAAGTAAGGACATGCAACAAGCATACTTGCCAAAATTCCTCAGCCCTTAACAGGAATATAGAAAGGTTATGTTTTTGATTAAACACATACATATTACTGACAGGGGCACAGCTCTTTGCACCTATTTGAGAGAAGATCAGTTTTCCCTGAGGTCGGTCTTATGCCTCATCATAACAATTGCACAGGGAAGCCCTGCATTGCACAGAACTGTTTGGATTGGCAGGACAGTAAAGTCAGTGGAAAGACATTTTCTTTCTTTGTTCATCTGCATTTTTTTCTTTCAGAGAGAAAGTGTTTATGTCTATGAAGAAATATTTGGAACAAGGACATCCAGGAATTGGAAAAAAAAAAAATACACTTGGGAAAGGCAAAAAATCAGCGGGTTTACCACAATGCTGGATTTCCTACAGAGATAGCTATCGTCAATGTACAAAGCTCCTGTGTTCCTTGCATTAACATACCGTAGGTGGAAGCCAGAAAAACCCTGGATAATGGTAAGTTTCACTTTCTATTAAGTCAAAAGCCATTTTAGTAGAAGCTTAATTGCCTTTCTTTTCATGAAGTTCAGCAAGAAAATGCTCTCTTTCTTAAACGCAGACTGAACACCCACAGCCCTCAGAATTCAGGCTGCCCATAGCTGGCCTTATCTGCAAGCAGCCATAGCTCAAAAGCTATCAAGAACTGGTGTTTTGGGTAGGGAATAAGGCTCTGGCTTTGAGATAAACACATCTTTGCCAAATAAGTTTCCAGCAAGTTTTTTTTGGACAAGCAGAGTTTGGCGTGTATCTGTAGTAAATAGCGTCTCAGTGGACTAGTGCAGCCTGCTGTCTTCTGTTGACATCTAGAAAACTGGAAAGGTGTAAAATGTTTCAGAAGGCCCAGATTTCACAACTCAGAAGCTCCCCGTGTTTCTGACGTAGCTCTCCCGATCTGTCGGTTCATGGAGAATGAGTTCTCAGTTCTCTACAGTGAGGCCTGTAGGCCGAGACACCAGACAAGGAGGTAAGGTTAATATGTTGGCCTCCACACTTAGGAAGTACTCCTTCACTTTATCACCCTAATAGGTAAATATATAGACATGTCAGTGCTGAATAACTGTGTTACCATGCACCACCTATCCAGCTTCAAGTCTAAACAGCCCTTGAGGCAAGGGTCATGTTCATGCAGATTGAAGCATATGTCATCACTAATCTTAATCTATAATAAACATCTGGATGAGTAATGAGACCAAATTGGAGCTGAACAACAGGTTTCACTTTGCCCCTTAACTTTCACACCTCAAACAGGCTCTGAAGCTATGTTATTACACAGGCAGCAGAAGAGATAAGGATTACAATATAAATTAAGTAAATCACGCCAGCCTCCCAGCAATAAACACATCTCTAATTATTTTGGAGCCTTCTTGTCTCACACATGCTGCTTGAGCAACACACTTCACCTGAACACCTGTCCCTGGCAGGCCAAGGGTACAAGTAGACGCCTTACAGTAGAAACCTGAAGGTTTCTGTGAAGCTTTTTTGCTTTCACATGCCCCAAAGCTTTTTTCTCACAAATGATATTCTGGCACTACGTTCACCCCTAAGCTAAGTATTTTAAAAGAAAGCCTCAATACAACTTTCAAAGAGATTCTGGGTGGTGAGGGGAAACCACATCCAGAGAAGCAATCAAAATCCTTGATTTTGTGAACAACATGAAAGATCCCTCCACTTGTCACTGCAACTGCTTTGAGAAAAGAAAAATTTTATAACATCCAGAATCAGGTGCAAGTCAGAGCCCCAGTTTAGGTTGTGTTTTCAGGCTCAGTTTGCTAGGGGAAAGGATGCTCTTCAAGGCTTCTTCTCTGGGGATCCCTTAGGATCCCAAATCCAACCTGAACCCGCTTGCATTCTTTAGTGAATTTCTTAACCAAGGTCCTTTCCAGAAGCCACACTGGTTTAAGGTTTGCTCCTTTTTTTCCAAAGCATTTTTTCCTGACCTTTTACTGGTTCCACTGTAAATGAAAGTCATGGGTCTTTATACTTCTTTTAAAGAGGATAAGGGAATAAATAACCACCAAAAAACATGCCTTGCATAAGTCATGTCATTTATACAATTAAACATTTTCTCCTTCTCGTGATACATTTTATTGAGGTATAAATCACTACTACAAGGCAATTTAGTGCAGACAAAATTTTACTGGGAGATGTAGATCCCCTGGGCTTGTCTGGAAAATGAGAAACATATTCAGAGATGATGCATCTTGCCGGGTGCAAAATTCACAGGAGCTAGAGAGAGCTCTGTCTAGACTGAGATTTAACTTTCTCATTTAAATCTTTTGGAATAGCACTGTGCTGGATGCAAATGCATTAAACATTTCTGTGTTGGATTAAATAGGTTTTACAAAGTCCAGCCACACTGAAGAAATTGTGCTAGCAGAATGGAGCATTGTCAAAGCAAAGAGGAAACAGAAGCTGAAAGGTAGCAAATGACTCTTGAGTGTTGCAAGGCTTTTAACAGCACTCCCTCTTCCTTTCATTAAATTGAAATTTTCGCTTCTTCCCTATTACTGTGACAGGTAGATAGATGCTTGTGGCAGATTTTGCTTTTTTCCAGTCCTGACTCTTAGTTCCGGACCTCTTCATTTCTCTCTCACAAATTAAAAATTGTTAACAAATAAGAAATCTAGGCATGTTCACATCTGGAAAGTATCTGGAAAGAGACAGCAGGGTTCAGAAATGGCTTTTTCTCCATCCCCACCTTCAGAACAGAATGAATTCCAAACAAAAAGCAAGCCCTTGCATTTAGACTGAACTGCCCAGTTAAGAGAAGGGAAATCTCTGTCCCATGAATTGCTCCCACCCTTGATCTCCTGTAACAGATCATCTTTGGCTTCCAGGTGAACATATATACCCTGCCTAATTTGTAGGATGTCAAAATAATAGCTAATTTCAGGTTTGGCATTATCTGCAATTTTCGAATCATTGTCTAACCCAAGACTGGAAGGGGAAGAGTATAGGGGGGAAAAAAAGCATCTGTTCTGTTTTGTATTTTGAAGATGCACTAATTTTTTTTTTTTTATACCCAGTTCCTTAGTTTACAAGGAAAACACTTGCCTCATGGGTTTTAAAAGCAGCCTCAGCAGAGGAGCAGTTCTTCCAGACTGTATTTTGAGGATTACATCTCCCTCCATGAATAATGACTTACTTCATGAGGGCCATAGCTTTCTGTCTGTAACTTCTACCTCCAGCTGACATAGATTATGTTCCTCTCTCCACTGAAATACAGTAAGATGAAGATCTGAAGTAGCAACTGCCTGGAGCATGCCTAATTACAGGAAACATTGTGTACAGAATTCTAGGTCATTAAAAAACTACCATGGAGAAATTTGAGTTTAGTGTCCAGTGAAGGAGCAAGAAAAATGAAGTGCCTCATAACAGATCTTGAAGCAAAATACAAATGGCTTGGATTGAAGAAAAGAAAAAGTAAGGAGGAAGGAAAGCTTCAGACCAGAATAAGGGCAGGTGGGAGTTGATGAGAGCTCCAAGCCTGCTGCATTCTGTGCCTACATCCAGAACAATAACTCCTGGGCTGCAGCTAGTTAGTTACAGGTTTAAAGTCAGTCTTGCTTCATCTTTTCTCCTTTCTAAGGCTGAGAAAAGACCAGACAGACCTATCTCAAGCTCTGCTCCACCAGAGAGTAGAGGAGAGATCACTAGAGATACAGCTGAAAGAAGTTTAGCTGAAGTTCAGGTTGTGGATTAACATATACTTGATCCAACAGAGATGGTATTACTGAGCTCCACACATGAGTTCAGCAGCATCAGATGCCATGTCTATCAGCTGTTTAATAACCAGGGTACCTAGGGGCTGTTCAAGGGGTCACCAAAGCTTAATATTAATCTTTGTTGCTAAATATTAACTCATACATTTGTAAGCAGTCTCTACTCACCCAGTTTCACTGCTGTATAAGGTTGCCACAGTGCATGTGCGGATGGCTAGTACTCACATCAGAAGCAGCCAAAGGAAGAGTTTTTATAGCAATACACAGCATTCTTCAGAGAGCCATTTTATGTAAAATGCTATTAAAATGCATTATCTCCATTACTTTCTGTTGGAATGAGAGGGATCCAGAATAGCAAATAAAAATAGGTACACAAGAGTTGTATTAGATCATTGCTAAGAATTGTGCTCAGAATCAGGATTTTTTAGCATCAGAAGCAATCGGTAAGAAATCTCACTTGTTTTTCGTGATTTTCAAAACTCAGATGATAACAAAAGAAAAAAGAAAGGAAGCTAAGGTAAATGCAGCAAGATGGGCCACCCTGAGATCCTTAAGTATATGAGAACAGGTCTATGCAGGTTAACAGGAGACTAGCCACAACACCTATGACAGACTCAGACTTAGGATAAACATTTGCTTTTCAAAATAAAAACAAATGAAACGTAAATTGTCCAAAATGAACAAAAACCTTTTTCTTTAAGAATTTCTCTGTTCTCTTTTTCAGACTAACAAACAATATGTTGGAGGGGAAGTTCCTCTCTGAAAATTCCTTAAAGCTTTATTTGCTTTAATCCTCAAGCAAGAGGCTCTCACATCTCCTTAAGCTCTATGAATACATAGATTTCTTATCAGCAGCATTAGAATGCCATTAAGGAACATGGATTCACAAGTCAGCCTACGAATGATAATAGCCTCTTTGTTTTCCTGCTTGCTTCCTAGAACATTTTTAAAGGAGCCTTATTTCATTCTTTTCTCTCTTCTCTTAATGACAAGATTTCCTTGGACTCATGATAGATTATTTATTTGGCATTACTGCCTTTTGCTGTAAGAGAATGCATGAGAGATTGCGTGCATGATGCAGAGCTACCACTTTAAGGAGAGTCCTGCTTTCTGTGGATTATAAATAGTACATAATCTAATTTACAGAGTGAATAAGCCTAGAAAAGTTGAGCGGCATTACATATGTATGGCTTCCTGCAAGCTAAGTGAAAATTGTATCTTTCCTGCCTCCAGCTTGTCCTCGGGCCCCTAATCCCAATATAACAGGGCAGGCCTAGCCCTGCCATTGTACCCTAAACAGCACCTTGGGTCCATCCAGCTGGACTTTTAGAGATGACTGTGATTACAATAGCAATTGCACCCCAAGACTGCTCAAAGGGATAGGAAACTTGTAATGCAGAGCATCTCAGTCTCTCTGCTCAAGAGCTTAGATGCAGCCTGGACATCTTACATTAAAATATATTCAACAACACATTCAGAGACCAAATGTTTAACCCCAAAACACCACCCTGCCATTTGAAGACCTTTTTCACAACTGAGCCCAAAGCCATTTGCATGGAAAGACTTATTGATTTCACCACACTGCAGATCCCACCTTGCTGTTGTGTCTAGGCTACACAGCTAAACACAGCAAGCTTCCTTCCACTCCATGGGCATAGCGCTGGGGCCGGGGATGGGATGGGACGGGACGGGACGGGACGGGACGGGAGCCAACAGCACATACCCTAGGAGGGA